CCGACTCTACTACAGTATTGCATGAATGCATTATAGGCTACAAGTCTTCAAAATTTTGTAACTTTGAAGCATAATTTACTCTTTTCATGATTTTTTTTTTTTTACATAAAGAGAGAGAGAGAGAGAGCTGCTCAAAACCACTCCACGCTTTAGAGGTCAGAATCACTTCGGTTTACTTCTCAACCTGAGCTTTTATATTCAAAGTATGTAATTTCAAGAGTGCATAAATGCTTACTAACCTGCTCAAAGCTAACAAAACATATTAAATTTTTAAAAGATAATAAAAAAGGGATCTGAAAAATATCAGTGTTTGAATATAAGTAAAGCAAGAGTAAATGAAATACAAACACGAAAAAGCTAATGCTCATCCAAAGTGGAGTGATGGAGGGTCAGTCCAGTGATGGCTATAGTGCACTGAGAAATACAACTGGCTTATGTTTAACTCTGAGCAAACTCCAAAATGGAAATCTTTCACATCAGAAACTCTGAGATATTTATTTTTCTGCCCTACATCAAACAAAAAACAAAAAACAAACCACAAACAGCCAAGTGTCTCTTCATTATTCAGGATGGAAGACTTTTGGCATCCACTAATAAATCCTGGTTCTAAAGGCCATATAGAGACCACTCTCAAATGAGACACTGTGCACTATCAGTATTGGAAACCTGGAAAACTGGATATCAAGTGTAAGACATATGCAGCTTTGACACAGCTGAGAGTTTGAGAACAGGGATACCTAAATGTACAACATTTTCAGTAATGGATCTGTGTAGGATATCTTCAATTACCAATGTAATTATAACCTCTGGGAGAGTTAAATAGAAAGTACAAAATTCCTAGTTATCAAATGTGAATATATGTATTAATATACATATACTATGTATGCATATACATACACACACAAACTCACATGTATATAGGGACAGACACAGACAGATACACAAACTGATATATTGGTAAAGCTAAATATATTATATATAAAGACCTTTTTTCCTCTGTAAATCAAAATATGAAACATTTGGGTCGGCAGAAGAAATGTACAGACCCAAAGAGGGATGATGAGGTACAACATTTACTGATGAAAATAACAGTACATAATTAAAGCTCTAAGACAGAAAATTTCTCATGATCAAATCCCACCACAAAACTAAGGTAAATATTAAGTGGAGAAGAACTAGTAATGATCCTTAGGAGATCTCTGTATATAAATCCCAATCTTAAAAAAAAAAAGATTTTTCAAAAAATATATTTAGAGATAATATCAAGAGAACAAGCCTTTAGCCAGGCTTCTGAATGTGCCATTACTGGCATACCACACTTAAAAGTATTATATATGATGCAGGTCCATTTGAGTTCCCTTAATATTCCGTGGCACAAGACACGAACCTCTATTGATTTTGAAATGTTAAGAATAATAAAACTGTTACATTTTTAAATGTTGAACGCAAGCTGAGGCCAACATGTAATTATCACAGCAGTTTTCATTGCACTTCACAACTGAAATTCCTTCCATAATTAAATTTGCTGATTACACTATATCTTATGTTGGAAAAAATGGAGAATGACAAGAGCTGTTAATGGCAAACATTCATATCCTAATTGTCACAAAATGACCTTTTCTTAGTCAAATTATTTCACACCAACATAAAAAAATAACAACTGAAGATACAATTAACAAATGTATTTACAATAATTATAATGCATTTTTTAATCCTAATTACATGTCATAAAAATTGATCTGAGGAAAGTGCAGTACATTAGTCAACACTGCTTAATTAGCTGAGAACATTCACACATGACTTGTTACAGCTGGCAATAATTGCTAATCAACTTAATAATATACAAAAAAAAATATCTAATACATTCATTTCCATATGAAATATATAAAATCCTTATCTTTAGCATAATTGATCTGATCTGGCCTGTAGTAGTTTCCCATATGTGGAAGAAGTTGAAGGTAAACCAAAAACTGAGATTCCACATTCCTTCCTTAAATTTATCAAATTCATGTCAATTATACTTTAACTTAGCATGATGTTTATGAGGGCAGACTAAGCAATATGGCTTCTCATAGTGAAAAAGACACCCATGCCACTTCCCTAAACATCTATACTCCCTCACACACACACCTACCTACAAAAACACACACTCGTACCAATGCACATGCAAATGCATATGCACAGGCTCACACACTCATATAATAAAAATAGCACAGTTTACCATGCTATTAGGAATCCATTACAATCTACAGTTGTTTAGCTTTAAAAAAAGGCCTTTGCACCTTCCCAGAGTGCCTGTCATCCCTCCATATTAGCCAATAACTATGGTCTCTGGTTCCATTCCAAAATGTCAGATCTCTTGGACAGAAGCATCACAACTTCCACAGAAGAGTGCCGTATAGTCAAAAAACAAAAGTCTAGGATCATCATGCTTTTCTTGGTACTACTCAATACACGGCAAGGATACAGAACACTCAATTTTGACATACTTTACAAACAC